TAGGAAAATCCAGGTATCACAAACTGCAAAAAAGGGTACTATTACCTGGACCTTTCCTTTCCATGGTTTTTCTTCCTCCCTCTTTTGTGATGAAATGCCACAATCTGGATATTTGCATGAAAGGCCTCGTCCCCATCATGTGCCAAAGCCCTTTCATGCCCTCAACAGGAATTACTGGGACTGGGTGATTTGTAGGAGAGCTCTACAGATTCTTCTTAAATTTAATAATTAATGGAAATGGCTGGAGATTTCCATGTCCCTTTTAGCGAGTAAGCTTTTTTATTCATTTCAAATGTAGAACATCATAGAAAAAAATAAATCTGAAAGAAACCTTCTCTAAACTCCCAAGTATTAGATTTCCAAAAATACACTTTTGGAAAAAAAAAATTCCTTTTAGGTATCATATGTGTTTTTCTGTCTCCTATTCTGGTTTCTTAATATAAAACAAATGAAACAAATGAATACATGGGAACATTTAGCTTTCCATACCCCTCAGGAGGATCACGACAAGCTTTCTCTCCTCCCACACTTCACTTTATCCTTTGCTAACAATGGCCACAGAGGAGGCCAACTGGTGAAGAAGCTCATGGGTTTTAGTAAGTGTTAAATCCCCACATCCTGTGCTGGGAAAAATGACTCATTCCCAGCAACCAGGAAAAAAAATTCCAAAGATCCCTACTAGGCAAAATCAATCCAGGTCATGGCAGGAGCAAAATCCAGAAGTGAAGCACCAGGAGCTTCACTTGTTCACAGGTTGTACTTCTACCAGAACAACATCTACGGGGTGGCTTCACTCAGGACATCGGGTTCGCTGGGATCTGGTGATGAGTCAGAGCCGTTTTGCTTGCGCTCTCTTCCATAAAGCTCGTGGAGGTCTTCCCAATGTCTAGAACTCGTCGAGCGGAGGCGTCGCAGGATGCAATGTCATCAACACTCCTTGCCCCAGGACAGACTCACTGAAGCCAAGGGCAGCTGGGTCTGAAGAAGGAATGAAAGAGGACATCAGGATTTATTCCCCTGTGAAATAAAATCTGCTCTTGCTAAGGAGTCCTAGGAGTTGTTGAATCACTCAGTGTTCAGTGTCAGGTTATCTAGGATGACATAAGCTGACCGTTGGGTTATCTAGAGTGATAAGCTGACAATTACAGGCAAACTTCAGGTGTCTCAGCATGGGGTGGGATGGACATAGTACAGCTGGCCAGCAGAAGGTGTAGCTGATTCCTAAACACAGTTTGATAGCACCAAATTGTGTGCAGCTTCCCATGGGACATCTGGGCTACAGTGGGCTTCACTCATAGAAAACTATGCAGGGTGAGAGCTTCAGCATTGAAAACTGCAACAAAATAAGCATAAGACAACAAAAGCACTGCATGCAACTTAAGTACTCAGGCTCCTTCCAGTAACCTTGTTTGGGCAGTGCCTTCTTCAAGGGACAACAAAATATTGCACAGAATTGTTGCAATCCGTGTATGAAGAATTTCCCATTTTGATGCATTAGTTGCTGGGTTCCTGTAGACCACCTTGTTCCCACTAAGCTACGAAGACCATCTATTCCTGGCTCAGGAACACACACTACATACTAGCATGTAATTAGGTATTAAGAGATAATTAAGGAATTTTAAAATATGGACAGTGCTGATGAGATACTCAATCTTACTCATCCTTATGCATTTTAATTGGAAATATGAGCTTGTATTAAGAAGTAACTCCAGCGCATATAAAGAGCGCTGTCATATAAAATTAACAGATCCAGACTTCTAATAATGGAATTTGTCCAAAATATTGGAATGTCCTGTAACTAAGAAATAATTAACTTACTGAAACAGATTCGGCTTCGTGGTAAAACCTGGAGTTTAATGTCTTAGCTCCACTCGTGCAAGTTGTAAATCCCTGAAAAACATGTTTTGTAATGAAAGTGGTAATTAAATCCTTAATTTCAGTTGCACTGTTAGGCATTGCGCTAAGACAATGAGGAAAATGAAATGAAGAGCATTAGGCTTTTCTTATAGGATATGCTGTGCTTTAAAACGTATTTTATTGATCCTAAAAGTACAATATCAATTATTGACATTTTTTTTGTTGAGGATCAATCTTGGATTAAATGGCAATGTGAAGAAAAGGTTTTCATATGTACTATGTCCAAAAGCAGAAACAGATTGCCTTCCTCGCGTGAACATTAGAAAACCTTTTCTGATGGTTAAACATTATGTCTGAAATATATCTAAGTTGTACCAGCCACCATAGCGCTTTTTGGTGAACCAAAGAAGTCCTACAGTGAAATCAAACTTCGAGTATAGTCTGCATTAGTTTTATACAATATCCCCCTAACACCATTTTTTTTTCCTGATTTTAGAGTTACATATATTCCGTCTGTCAATTACAATGCAAAGTACAAGTAACGGATTTAAGCAAGGATGTTGGAGTGTGGAATTAATTCACGTGAATTGCCAATAGGCTGGTGGGAATCTGCATTCCCCACAGGGAGGCAAATCCTACGGCATCAGAGGTGGCGGATGGGATTTTCCGCCCGGGAAGCGGAGCCACACGGAGCTACCAGCGACCAGGAGATGCGAGCAGAGCTGCAAGTGGGCTAGGAAGGGGCAAAACCAGCCCCGGGAGGGAAGGAAACGAGGAAAACAAGGGTTGTTTCGAGGGAAAACCAATAAACAAACGAGCAAGCTTGCGGCTAGCATCCTCCAGCGACGTGGACCGGTCGGGTCTGCATTTGCCTTGATGCTCATGTGACGAGGAACGGAAAATAGAGGGACGTGATGAGTCCTCTCAGGTAATTAACCTACGCTCTGATGCTTCCCACACCAGCCTATTTTCAATTTCAGCACAGTACAGTTTATACACTCTAACATTATTGCTCAGAAGATAAGAGTGATGATTCAGGTTTACTAAAAATGGCTCCACAAATGCTGCAATCATGCCTGTGGAGCTTCGTCTTGTATTCTCTACTTATAAGTTTCTTCTCACTGAGAAATAAATACGCTTAGTGTTTTATCAGAAAAGTTAGTCACCAGATACCTGAAACACTTGTATACCATCTTTAAGAAAACATGGCTTGTTTGGTCAATTTGCCTGCCAATATTTTTTTTCCCCTTTTTTTTTTTGTTCGTTTTTGATTGTTGGTTTTAAGTGTGAACGATACCATAGGTGACCTCCCTTCATACTGCTGTCGATGCAAACAATACAGGAGAAATAACACACCACTGCTGCATCCTCTCTGCCATGCTGCCAGATGATAAATATTATTTTAAATGTTATTTGCTGTGGGTGTTTCATGTCATTTGTGCCCAGACCCACTGAAGTCAATGAAATAACACCTACTGGCTTCCATGGGAATCTGACTTGGATTTTATTCTGGCAATCCACTAAATTAAACTCTGACAGGGGGAAAAAGAAAAACAGCCCAGATGAAGGAAGAAAAAAAAAAAAAATTCAGGAACTAAAACTGAGGTGCAAATAAATACTTGAATAGAATGGCCTCCTGAACAGATTTAGATAAAACATACACACACACATAGACACGCAACAAAAGAAAAGTGCTATGGATTTAACAATCTTAAAAGTTCATAGTTTAAAATTGTTTACATTTAAACAACTGAGTATAATAGGTAGCTTTCTTGACTTTCCATTTATTTCCCTGAGCACTGATCTTTGGAACATCTGGAGTTTCAGAACTGTCTAGTTAGTAATTTCTAAAATAGTCATCTTAAGTAAAATATTGTCTTTTTTTCTACGTCAAAAATTAATTCCTTAAGTAAAACTAAGATACAGTTCCCATGAACTGCAATAAATATAGCCAATTTATTTTTAAAGACAACAGCTATCATTAGACTTCTAAATCTGTATTTAGGCACCTAACTGGTCTGTTTTTCCCCAAGCCACCCTGCACTTAGCAGTTCTCATTAGTTCAGTGCAGGGCACGACGCTCTCTTATAAATTCATCTATTTGGATACCTACGTAGGCATTTAGCCTCCTTGCTTAATTTTCTCATTTTGTGAAACGTCCTGGCTATATAAACAATACAGTATTGTTGTGGATTTGGTTTTGTGCCTAATTAAGTGCTATAGGTAGAGCCTGCAGGACTTCCCCCAAAACTTCCCAGGAAGGGTTAAAGAGCCAGCATAAAGCCAATCTCCAAGACTAAAATGGGACCTAGACAGGGCATATGTTTTAGTCTGGCCTTCTGCACAAGAAAGTCTTCTGGCCAAAAAAAAAAAAAAAAAGAAAAACCTGTACTTGAGTTTTCTGCTTTTTGGGACTACTTGGTAAATTTTTAACTGGTGCTTTGGATTCCTTTGCCTAGATTAGAGACTGAAATATGAGCTTCAAAGAAAAAAAGCTTGCAATTTTAAAATTTCTAAGGCATTCTTCATTTTATATTGTACAAACTGTGCAAATCCAAACATTTGGAAAACAGAACATTGTAGGGAGACTTGGATATTTCTAGGCTAACATCTCCTTGCAATTCTATAGCAGTAAATTACGTCAGTCTCTCTGCAGCTAAAAATTTAAAAATAATTTTCCATCAACCGCAGAAATACACTGTAACATTGCATTCCCTTAACTCTTTCTCTCTTTCTCCTGGTATCACTGGCTAATGCAGCAGGCTCCAAACAGAGGATTAATGGAAAGGTTCTTATTTTTTCAGATTTCATCTCAGTATGCAATAACTGGGAGGGGGAGGGTAATGAAACAAATGCAATCTGAAGAGGTTCTTGGTAAAGCATGAAATTAAGCCTTCACCTGTTCTCTGAAGATGTTAAAAATAAAAATAAAAAGCCATGCCTGCTTCTCTTAATTACCACTTTCTTATGCTAACTGATACTGGCATTGCACAGCAGAACCCAAAAGGATTTAGCAGAGATTTTTTTTTTCTCTCTTTGCAGAAATCCTTTTTAACACCTCTCAGTTAAGAAAGAGTTAAAAACATACAATTCCCTTATATTTTTCCTTTTCAGGAATTAAAGTGGCATCTTTAAAAACAAAAAGTAAATATCTTGCACTGTAATGGGAATATAAATACAGTTTTGAAAACACATTTGGAAGATGTCTTCCAAGATGGTTTATCTCTCTTTTTTTTTTTTTTTCCTTTAAAACTGTGACCATTGCATCAGTTAAGGCTGTTTTACAATATATATATATATTTGAAATAAAACTTTAATATTCAAGCTTACCAGATTGATGGATTGTAACAGGTAAAATGGAATTCTTTACAAGGTAAACCATGTAGTTGTACAAAATGGGATTAAACCCTTCACCTGTGTAAAACAAAAAGAAATCCTGCCTTGCATTGAAAACACAGAACCTGTTTACAAAAAGGAATGTGTATGACATTTGGACTTCCTTTTAACTGCCGTATCCTAGTAACATCTCAATTGTTTCAGTAAAGGAACTAATCATCAATTCTAAATTGCAGTGAATTTACCAAACATTTTCACTATAGACTTCTGAAAGCTTTTACAGTAAGAAGTTATCAACAAAAGCAGGCACGTTAGTGTACAAAAACGTTGTTGATTTTTTCCTGTTTCTTTTTCAAAGTGCAGGTTTTTTTTTTTTTTTTTTTTTTTTTCTTAATGTGCATCTTACAAGACCAACGAAGGTTTTAACTCACTAAATCTTAAAACAGAACTCAATTCTCCAAAGAGTAGTGTAAACGTTTAAGGATCCCCAAAACACTTCTAGTAAACGTGACACGAATGTCTCTGCGTTGTATAGAAATTAAGCTCTTTTGAGAGGTAACGAAGCTTCATTACACTTTTTTTTTTCTTTTTCTTTTTTTTTTTTTTTTTCTTTTAATCTCCTTACACTGGCTGGTTATCATAAATGGGGTAACTCTGGACTGCTAAAGCTGGAGACGGATGAATCGCTGGAGGGGGAACTACGCTTGGCTACGGAGGGAGGCGGCGGAGGCAGCGGCCGCCCGACGGCGCGGACCGGCCGCCCCCGAGCCCCGCGGCGGCTCCCATCGCGTCCCGTGCCGTGGGGCTGCCCCCCTCGTGCCTTGCCGTGGGGCCGCCCGCCCCGTGCCTTGCCGTGGGGCTGCCCCCCTCGTGCCGTGGGCCCGTCCCTCGTGGCGCGCCGTCGGGTGCCTACGTGGCGCGGGCGCAGGGCTCCGCCGGGTAGATCTCCTCGTAGGCGGGCGGCTGCTCGCTGGGCAGCGGGTAGCAGTAGGGGTAGGAGGCGTTGAGCTCGGGGTCCATGGGCGAGTATCCGGGCAGCTCGACGGACGGGTGCCCGCCGCAGTGCACCTCCACGCCGGCCTCGTCGAAGACGTGGAAGACGCCCACGTTGATGTAGGAGACCGCCTGGAAGGGGCACTCGCCCGGCGGCCCCTCGGGCTCGCCGCCGGAGAAGAGCGAGCCCTGGCTCTGCCGCGTCGCCCGCCGCCC